TTCAAACACATATGAAATATATGGATTCCTTATTTGACCTAGAAAGCAAACGACAAATGAATATCGAGAAAGAGGTGAATATCGATATCTTAAAATTGCTTGATGGAAATAGTTGGAAAAAAGATTAAAAGCCATAACGTCATATTAAAATACGTCAGATGGATTTTGTAAATGTTGGTCAAACCACTTCAATTTTGTGTATGACCATCAATCCGCATTCAGTGCATAAGAAACTTTAAGTACAATATGTGATATATTTAGCAATAATGGCATGCATGATGATTATGTAATATAACTTTTAATACACCTTTATCTATAGAATAGACATGCATTGAATTCCAAATTTTGTATTGATTGAAGGAATCTCAATTAATAAAAAATTATAGTCGGTTTTTGCCCACGACGTAATTGCGCAAGAAAAATTTGATTCTACAAAATTGATAACTCGGGTGTTGAATGAAAAAAGAAAAAAAAACCCATTTGTATAGAGTTCGATAGGATGATATTCACATGAGAAAAAAAACCCCCAGAGCCATTGATATTTTTTATAATGAATGCAGATGACTGTTTATTCTGACGTAAGTTTTTCCAGCACTAATTGACAAACAGCCAAGTCCTTACTCCATTAAGAGAAATTCATATATTAGCTTTAAAAAAGAAATCATATGACGCATAAGTGTTTTATTAGAGTCAAAACAAATACTTCAGCCCAGCAAGTGACAAGATTCATGAAAAAAATAAAACAACTACACCGAAGAAATAGCAATTCTGTATTTTAAGTGAATTTTAATTCATCTCACCAATTTATATGAAGAGAAATGTAATAGGTTTAAGATAACAATTATTATTAATTCTTAAGAGTAAATGTAGAAATAGATTTTTTTACTTACACATGAGAATCATGTGGTGATTATTCGATTACTTCTCGATAGGACAAGTTATCTTGGTATGTATGCATTGTTGCAACCACTATTGAAATAACGACCACTATTGAAATAATTATTTCAATAGTGGTTGAGAGTGCATTTCAAAACCAAACACAGGTTGTAACCACTATTGAAATAACGTTCACTATTGAAGTAATTATTTCAATAGTGGTTGAAAGTGCATTTCAAAACCAAGCCCAGGTTGCAACCACTAATGAAATAACATTCACTATTGAAACAATGATTTCAATAGAGGGTTTGAATGCATTTCAAAACCTAAACCAAGTTGCAACCACTATTGAAGTAATGTTCACTATTGTTCACTACTGAAATATTGAATTCAAAAGTGATTGAAATAATGATTTCAATACCAACACCACATTGCAAGCCTTCTTGAAATTTCTCCAATATTGAAAATATATTTATATATATGGATGAATTGTTAATTACGTTTTCCAACATCATAAATTAATTTACTGAGTATAAAATATGATGTGTAAATTTATGTTTTCCTTTCTTTTTTAGAAATTACCATTAATACACGGACATTTTGATTTAACTGACGTACTTAAATTCAAACAAAGTATGCAAATGTTATAAGCAAACTTCCGCTAAATCTGGCCGACTTGGTGAAAATCAAAAGGCATTTAATCAATATATGCAAGTTTTAAGTAATTTTGTTATATAGAGTTCGTCTTCGCCATTAATTTGGAAAGGAAAGGATCATATATACCGATAGTTGTAGAAATTAGAGTACCTACATTATAAAGAACAAAGAAGACTGATATCTATGTGTACAAACTGTCTGATGAAAATATGGTTATTTTTAATAAAAAGAATAAAGAATAGAACTAAGTTCTCCCTTATATTCATGGGCTTGCCTACACTACAAATATGAATAATCCAACGTCTACTCATTAAGACAGTAAAAAACAAAACGTAAAGGGAAGTCAGTATACGCATTATTTCAATAGTGGGTATTATTTCAGTAGTGGTCAGACGTATAAAACCGCTGTTGAAATAATGTCAGCTATTGAAAAATTACTTCATTAGTGATCGTTATTTCAACAGTGGTTGCATTAATACTACCGCTATTGAAATAATATCTACTATTGAAATAACTTTTTCAATAGTGGTCGTTATTTCAGTAGTGGTAGCAACAATGCACACGCCATTGAAATAACGATAACTACTGAATTAATTATCTCAGTAGTGGATATTATTTCAATAACGGTTTTACACGTGTAACCACTGTTGAAATTACAACCTCTTATGTTATAACACTTATACTTAGTTTTCCCAAAAAGTTGATTTTAATGTACTGACGAGTAGAAACTTTGGATTTACTATCCATATTAGTAGTGAAGGTAAGCCCATGAATATAAGCGAGAATTTACTTCTATTCTATATCATTTTGATTAAAAATAACCATATTTTCATCAGAAAGTTTGTACACATATTAGATATCGCATAGATGTCTCCTTTCTTCTTTTTAATGTAGATATTCTAATTTTTACAACTATCTATTTTTATTATCTTTTACTTTCCCCAATTAATACCAAAGATGAACCTTATATACACTGTAACAAAATTACTTAAAATTACTAGATCAGTTAAATCACAGATATTCGTGTATTAATAGTATTTCTAGACAGAAATTAAAACATAAAATTACATATCATATTTTAAACTCAATAGATTAATCTATTATATTGGAAAACATAATGAAGAATCTATCCTTATATTTTTTCCAATAGTGAGGTTATTTCAATGAGGCTTGCAATGTGGTTCTGATATTGAAATCATTGTCAGTAACTCTTGAAATAATTATTTCAATCACTATTGAAAATAATTGAAATCATTATTTCAATCACGATTGTAATTTTTTATTTCAATAGTGACCATTATTTCAATGGTAGATGCAACCTGGTTTAGGTTTTGAGATGCATTTAAAACCTTTATTGAAATCATTGTTTCAATAGTGAACGTTATTGCATTAGTGGTTGAAACCTGTATTTGATTTTGAAATGCACTTTCAACCACTATTGAAATAATTATTTCAATAGTGAACGTTATTTCAATAGTGGTTGCAACCTGTGTTTGGTTTTGAAATGCACTCTCAACCACTATTGAAATAATTATTTCAATAGTGAACGTTATTTCAATAGTGGTTGCAACAATTGCTACCTGATTCCTTCCACATCAAGGCAGCTTATTATACAGTGAAAATAAAAAATATAGCGTTTGATATATATATATATATATATATATATATATATATATATATATATATATATGTATATGTATATGTATATATATATATATATATATATATATACTAGATGAATACCCGCGCAAGCGCGGGAGAAAAATGAAGGGAAAACTATGTTATCAGTACATACACTAAAATGTTTAAATAATTGATTTATTCTAGATACATGTAATTAATATCAGCATTACTTGCTGTTGTGAAAAAAAAATTGTGTGAAGAGGTTTATGAATGTACATGATTGATAAAATTATCGGTTCTTCACATGAATTATCATTTACAGAGTGAAAAACTTAACTGAAGAATTTGCAATCTAATGCAATGTCAACGTTTTTCATAAATGTTTAACTACTTAAACCCTTGTGCCCAAAAGAGATGTATATCTGACATAGTGTGTTTACTTTGTAGTTTTGATATAAAATATGATTTAGTAGAAGAATTACAAAGAAACTATAAGTAATATATTATTTAATCCTTTTTAACTCAGGTGAGCAATTTTGGTTATGGGCCTTAATTTTCTTAAATGTTGCATTGGAAAATTCCTTTAACTCATGCAATTTCTCTAATAAACATCTTGTGTATAATGGTTTGTCTGATATTCAAATGTTAAATATGTATAAAGTAACAATAAATTGAAACTTTAGACATTAAAAATATGTTGTTTGATCCATTTTTGGCTCGTTTTTAATCGCGCAGTTTGCTGAACATATGCAACTTCCTAATGTTCACATGTATGTCTTTTTACTTTTTTCTGATGTTATGGGTAGTGACCTATAAATTTCTGTGATTATTCAGTATGTTAAACTATATTCAATGGAAATTTGTTGTTTTTCTACTCTTAAATACTACTATAAAACTTTGAGGTTGGAAACGTCTTAAGGTACTTTCATCTTCAAATTTGTGGGTTTAAAATAGAAAGAAAACTATACATTTATTTCCATTTTAATTTAGTTTAAAATAATCAATAATTGCAGAAATGTATAGGTCACAATCTTTTTTACAATGCAAACGTAAAATATGTAAGAATAAAAATGGCATATTTTTGATACAGCATTAATTAAGCCCACACTTTATAAAAGTTATGTCCCTTGAAAGCCAAAAATTTGGGGGGGGGGATCCCACAGTGGCCTTTATCACACTTTGAGGTGTGTAACTTGAAAATAACAGTAATATGTGGCTTGTATTTTGATCCAAGGATAGGGCTACTATACACTGAAAAAAAAAACAAACAACAAAAAACAATAGAATTTTAGAAGTATGCACTATGTTTGTCATGTTAAGAGAAACATTTTCTTCTTGAGGATTTGGTTGACCTGAGAAAGGAAATTTTTTTGGCAAAATGTTGATTAGACCAGCATTCCTCAATAGAAAGATATAAAAATAATGAAGTTTGTTATCTTTCATAATTCAGCTCTTCCTATCAAAACACTGCAGTGAGTAACTTAGAGAGGGCTAATATTCCTGAATAATCAGATTTCTGGACATAACTGTACATGTATTGATGAATTTACTTAATATTCAGCATTTCTTATCAGAACTCCTATATACTCTGGACGATTGATTCAACTTGCATCTTGAATACTGAGAGGCATATATATACCACATGCACCTATGATACAGGAAATATAATGAGTATGTATTAAGCATGTATTAAAAAAAACTGCACACCTAATGGTATATTTAACTTCAACGATAGGAATCAATACTCTAATTCAATCAACCCTAAGGAAATATTTAAAATTTCATGTCTCAAGAAAAGAACAGAGAAAAAAATTTTTTTGGTATTTTTTAAAACAAATAAACATCTAAAGAAGTACATCTTTGTATACTACATTGTCAGTGTAATAGCAATCAAGACATTGTAGATTAGGTAGTATCGACACTGAGTCAAAAGATCTCACTCGAGATAAAGCTACATAAAGTTGTCCATGGGTAAAAATTGGTTGAGTTAAGTCTATTCCAACATAATCTAAAGTCTGTCCCTGACATTTGTTGATTGTCATTGCAAATACTGGTCTAACTGGAAATTGACGGCGTTGAAGTTGAAATGGTAAACCTGAATCTGATGGCGTCAACGTAATCCGTGGTAAGAACACCATTTTCCCAGAATGTTTTCCTGTCATAATTTTTGCCTCAATGATGCGGCGACCAAGATTAATTACAGCTAGCTTGGTTCCATTTAAAAGACCTTCTTTGGGGTTTAAGTTTCGTATGAGTATAATCGGAGAATACTTTTTCAAGAACAAAGAATGGGGTGGCAAACCTGAAGGTGTCAAAGAATTAAGAAATTCTGTTGGATATATGTATGTTTCTGAAGGGTCGTGAACACTGTCTGCACTTAAGTAAACTTCACAACTGTCTGATTTAAATGCTTCCATAATTTTCTGGTTGATAAAGTCTACTCTTTCATTAGTTGCTGACAAAATAGCTCTGTTGCATATTTCTTGATCGAAGGCCTTTTTACCAAGATCTGGGTACACTCTTTTTATCAAATTGTCTAAACCGCATTCATCAGGTGCAATACAAATTTGAGCAGGGAGTCTAATTTTTGAAATTCCTAGGTGTGAGTAATACTCCTCAGTACCATTTCCTATCTTAAGAAGGAATTTTTCAAAAGAAGTATCAACATTCGAAACACCTTTTCTGGTATTAAACGTGTGCACTCTCATATTTATGGTCAACTGTAGTTTACATACGTGAGTCCATAGAAATGAGTGTTGAAGGCTGCTGAATATCACATCTGCTTGTGAGCCATGATGGATAACTGGTAAAACTTGTCTGAAGTCTCCTCCAAGGAGAACAATTTTTCCTCCAAATGGATTTTCACTTTTCATAATGTCACATAGTGTCCTATGCACACATTCAAACACGTATCTGTGCATCATTGGAGCCTCATCCCATATAATTATTGAGGCATTTCGGACTAATTCTGCTAGAGAACTCTGTATTGGTATATTGCATGTACTTGTATCAAGTATAGGTATTGGTATTTTAAATCGTGAATGTGCTGTACGACCACCATCTAAGAGCTCTGCAGATATTCCTGAGGAAGCTACTGCTAATGCGATATTACCAATAGATCTTATTTTTGCTAAAATTGTGTTGTAAACAAACGTTTTTCCAGTACCTCCTGGTCCATCCAGAAAAAAAAGAGTGGATTTGGGTGCGGGTGAGAAGACAGCTTCAATTACTTTATTGTAAACTTGAATCTGATCCTTATTCATTTTACGTTCATGATCCAAAACGACAGCACATAACTCCTGTGTACTGTAAGATAATTTCTCCTCTATGATATTTGGTATGTGTATGTTGGTTGGAACTGTAGCAAACAATTCAGACATCCCTGGAAAATTATGCAATGTCTTTCCATGTGCTTTTAACTGATCATTAATAAGAAGCAATGTTTTGTAAAGTGTAACTTCATCAGAGTGGTAAAAATTATCTTTACATCTTCTTAAGTCATCGGAAAGTTGGACGTAGAACTCATTCCACAATTTCACAGGTTCAGCTGGTTAACAAAACAGTAAAATTGTTGCAAAAAGTAAACGTAACTGACTGGGAGATCCTGATAATGCTGCTTCACTCAGACATTCAATCCATTCCTCATCATTTTGAAGGAATCCCCTTTTCAATGCTGTCTCTTTATATGTGTTACAAACTGTACCATCATCTAAAGTTAATAAATCCAGGAAAGATTTGCAGCCAGGACTGTGATGAAGTAAAAGTCGAAGAAAAAATCTTTCTCCTTCAATAGGACTGGCAAGATACAATCGTCCAATAGTGTTCCCTGATTTTCTTTTTTTCCAGGTGCATGCTGAAGCATTCCATGTGAAGTGCTCTGGAAATAAATGATAAGGAATATTTCTTGCTTCTGGAATTTCCTCATTTGCTTTAAACCAAGCTGTCAAAGTTGTGTCTTTTGAACTTTGAAGAGCTTCCTCTGCTTTTCCTTCTTTATAGAGCACAGTATGTTGTCCAGGAAGGTGTACTGCAAGTCGTTGAACTGCAGGCGATCTGTCATGAAGATCATAATGAAAAATTCGCCAGCATGATTCTGAAGCAGAAACATATCTTGCATCAACATAATTTTGTATTTCATTGTGTTCATCAGATTGAATGCTAGCCATAACTCTATCGTGTCCTTTATAAACATATTTGTACAAATATTTCACAGCAGTTACACTTGAACATATCTCAACATTTATATGAGCAGAGTACTTACAGCAAAGGTAAGGATTATATGGAACAATCCAACGATTATCAAGTATAACACCATTCTTCTGAACTGATGAACCATTGTTACGTCTTTTGTACATAGGATATCCATCTGGTAACTGTACAGTCTGTTCACAAAACTCTTTTGGATATTTTTTAGAACATTTTCCATCCTGTATGCATGGAGATTTGGGGTTGGCAAGTCCACAGGGACCATGAATCATATGTTGGGTAACAATTTTGTACAATTCTGGTGTTGTTGTTTGGGAAGGAATTTCTGCTGTAACATACATATTGTAATCATCAGAAGACTTAGGTTTACATGTTGGATGCAATATTAAAAGTATATGCGCATGGGGTAAACCTCTTTTCTGAAATTCAATGGTGTAGACAAATGCGATAACTTTGCCAAATATGTTTTTCAGTGTAATGTCTTTTAAAAGATCTTTTAGCTTCAAATGAAATACACGTGCAACTAAGTCTGGTCGATCAGTACTTGTCTGGCCTGACAATACGTTTCTTTCAATATCTGGCCACTTTGGATTACATGTAAAAGTTATAAAGAGGTCTGGTTTCCCGTAACGTCTTACAATAGCCATTGCATCTTGATACATTTGATGCATGTGTCTCGGACTGCCAATAAAGGATGATGGTAATATAATCTTCTTCCCAGTATGTTTACCGTCAGTGTCACCTGATTGTACAGCATCAGCAAGTCCTTGGTATAGTTCGGAACGTAGTTCGTTCTGATGAAATAAACAATAGTTTAATCGCTGTTGCTCTAATTTTGCATACTGATCTACAACATATTGATGAAAGAGTCTTCCACCTCTCAAAATAGTGTTGAAATTATTTCTTTGCATCATGTGATAAGCATAAAAATTCATTACTGAAGTTTGTTTAACAGTGTTTTTGTGCTGAATTCCAATTGTCCACCCTGCATCACCATAAGGGAATAAAAGAACATAGTGTAATGGATCATAATGTTGATTCGTCTCATTGATATGAAGAATTTTTTGACCATTAGGGTGATATGTTGCACGCTCATATAATACAATGTCTCTGTTGGTTGGTTGATATTCTGATGAGCCTGGAATTATAACTGACAATTCAGAAACTGTTGGCAAATTGTAACGTCTTGGGTCTTTAGAGGTGTCCGCCTTCAAAATAAGCTTCATATTTAGAGTTTTGTTCTGTTTTGTAAATATTTCAGTTGTATGTTTGAAGCATTTTGCAAATGGGTTGTACTGATGCAACATACTTTGTAACTGTTCAAGAATGTTTTTATTTAAATCAGTGTTCCAGCAAATTCTGTTGTTTGTTTCATTTTCTGTATCATATATGTATATTTGTGAGAATTTCGGGCGTTCTCCTAGTTCTGGGAAAATATGTCCTATTCTATGGTAAACTGAACCATGGATCCGAAATGTATATGGACCTTTTGATGGCAGAACATCTTCATTAACTCCTAGGGATGCAAAAGCTAAACTTGAATTATAAGCTCTTATGTTATGACGAAATTCTTTTCCCTCGTCATCTTCACCTGTCAATAAATGTTGCAGTAATAAAGGTGGGTCACTGATTGTTGGCAATAGAATTTTTCCTTCTAAACAACATGTAGAAAATACTGCAGACTGTCCGAGAGTACCAGAATGATTTTCTTCTTTCCACATTAAAGAACCACAGTTGAAACACAGATGATTCATTTGTCCCAAATCATGTCTCCTAGGAAAAACTTTTAAGCATATATAATCATCAAGGGAACCAAGAGCTTGAAAATGGAAAGATTTGGGGGATGCCACTGGTTTATTCTTGTCAAACCCACTACCTTTTTTTCTTTTTGGCATTATTTATACCTTTTTAAAATAAAAGTCATTGCTGTAGAACTTAGAGAAATAAGAGTGTTTCTCTTTGAGAAAAAGAAGCTATAACTGCATGTGTTCAATTATATTTTGTTCTCTTCCTCGTCTTTCTTGTCCACTTTTCCATCAGGCAAATCAATGTCACTGAAGGACAAATCTTTTATTTTCTTTTCTTTTTCATTCAGTTCTTCTAGTAATTTCTGATGATCATTTCTTAACTTTTTCAGTTCACTTTCATGGGTACAAACATCTCTTTTAATCTTTTCTAGTTCAGTCAAATAATTTTTAAATTCTAGTTCAATTTTGTTTTGCATTTCTCTCACTTCCATAAGAATATCAGGCAAGGAGGAATGTTCTATCCAGAATGTTATCCCCATGGTACTTTTAATCAGTTCATGTTGCAGTCTTTGAAACTTCAGGTACAACCTTTGGATCTGGCAGTGATTTGGAATATTCTGAAAAAAAAAAGAAAAAGAAAGTAAATATTAAATATATATGAGAGGTACAGTATTTAATTTTTATTCTGTATCTGTTGTCAATATCAACCTGGTATTTTACAAAAAATAAAAAAAGGTCTGTGATTAAATACCAGATATCAAATAAGACCCCCCAAAAATCCTGTAACATTTTCGAAAACAAAAACAAAAACTAATTTTAAATGGAACGTCAGGCAAATCGCTACGTTTTTGACGTAAGTCATTGTGACGAAGACAACCCAATTTATACGACATAAAGTAAATTTTTTATTCAATCAGAAACATCGTTATAAACAGAATTAAATATATTGAAGAGCAAAATGTAGGAGGAGTTGCAATTTGAAAGTATTTCACAAAAATTTATATTTTTAGTGACCACAGTAACACCATTCATCAAAATCAAAAACTGATAGATAGAATTATGCATCTTAGTGTAGTCTACTTGATTGTCAAATTATATTGAAATCAGACCAACACTGTAGTAGGAGTAGTGTTTTGAAAGTATTTCACAGAAATTTCTATTTTTAGTAAGCACAGCAACACCATTTATCAGACTCAAAAACCGATAAACAGAATTATGCATATTAGTGTAGTCTACTTGAGCGCTAAATTATATTGAAATCAGACTAAACCTGTATGAGGAGTAATGTTTTGAATGTATTTCACAGAAATTTCTATTTTAAGTAACCATGGCAACACCATTCATGGAAATCAAAAATCGATAAACAGAATTATGTATCTTAGTGTGATCTACTCGTGTGCCATTTTATTTAGAAATATCCCAGAATTCCTTTCACCATGGAGAAAACATGTAGGTGATCAAGATTTAGTTCTTGCAGAGAGCTTAAAAGGAAAAAAAATTCTCTTCATAAGGCCTAAAATAAGAATTTGTTTGTTTGCAGTTGCCTACCGACACACTGAAAATATACCTAACCCAAACTTTTATTAAGCCATTTTGTAACATTATTTTTTTTTTCAATTTTCCAGGATATTGAAACTGTTTCATTTTTATTTTTATTTTTATCAATCAGTAGTTTATGATAAGAGTGGAGTTTATTCATGTTTAGCAGACCTATAAAAAGTTCTATTATTTGTTATCTAACAAAAACCTGAAAACTGAATTTTTTTCCAAAAAAAAAAAAAGAATGCCTACGTACCTACCAACTCTAAAAATTATAGGTTGTCAACTGCAAACAAAGAATTTTTAAAGCTTGGCCTAATATATCAAATTTGATGCCTTTTGTTAAAAATTTGAACTATCAAGTCTCCATTACAAATGAAGGTGGTCACCCACATGGCGCAGTGGTAAGAGCATCTCCTATAGAGTTGCAGAGTAAGGAGTTGATCCTTACATCATGTGTTCAAATCCCACTGTGGGACATGGAGACCGGTCCTTTGGATGAGACCATATAAATTGAGGTCCCTTGCCGCAGTAGGTGTTGACACGAAAAAGATCCCTCACTGCTCAATGGCCCCTAAGTGCCAAGCATAGGTCAAATTTTGCAGCTCTCCAATGGCAAGTGGTGGCATATCCATAGGAGTGAAAAATTCTTGAGAGGGACATTAAACAACAAACAAAAATTAAATGAAAGTGCAACAATTACATGTTATAGTTTATATGTACTGTACCATAGGTGAATGTGACTTTTAACCTGCCAATGTAATGATTTTGAAGAAGCAGATCTAACTTAGATATGCATACAAAAATATTTGATGGCATCTGGAAATAAATACAACTACAATTGTCATTACTATAGCACCATCAACATTATTTAACATTTGGACAGT